GAATGGTGGAAAAAAGCTAGAGCTGTAAGTTGGTTCAAAATTTTTGCTATATTTGTTTTACATATGACAAATCTGTTGGTAATACTTATAATAATATGTGTTGTTCTGCTTATTTCAGGACATTCCGGGTTGTGGAAAGTTCAAAAAGAAGGGCCTTGAGAATGAAGATGACTTAGCCAAGTGTTTTGCTGACATCACTACTATTGGTATTGATCATTGGTCTCCTCATGTTGTGAATGTTGAAGCAACCGAAAATGTTGATGAGACACAATATGAGGCAACCAATTTTGAGCCATAAGATGATGATTCCATTCCTGGAACACAAGAGGAGGATATTGATATTTCTCCTCCACCTGCAAGTGGTAAGAGATTGGCTAGGCCTATTGAAAGAAGTGGCAAGAAGGTGAAGTCTCAAAATGGACTCCTAATTCAAGAAGCAGTAACAAGTATGGCAAGTTCAGCCAATGAATATGTTTCGAAGAGACATGGAAAATACTCTATTGATGAAGTGATGGAGGTTGTGATTGCTTGTGGGGCCGGCTATGATAGCAATGAACATTACATTGCGTCTGAACTATTTGTGAAGAAGGAGCAAAGGGAGATGTTCATGACCTTGCGTACTAATGAGATTAGGTTCAATTGGCTTAGGAGGAAGTACAATGATAAATATGAAAAGTAGAAATGGTAGTGAGAGTGATGTCATTTATGTATGCTACATTTTATTTTTGTCGCATGTATGCTACATTTTATTTTCTTGCAGTTCATTTATGTATGACATTTGTATCTTACATTTCATTTATATCAATGTTCACAGATGTCTTCAAGTGAGTCTGATGATTCTAGTGATGGGGAATTTTTTTTAAAAATGGTTGAGAGCAGTGCAAAACTAGCACAAAGTTATCATGACTTGTATATGGACAAGGCACCACTGAGGTTCATGTTTTCACAACAAAGTGGAATGGGATGGCTGATGGAGACAGTAAACACTCCAGGGGAGTGTCATCGAATGCTTCGGATGAATGAGGTTATTTTTCATGATCTTCATGATGTGTTGGTTGAGAGGTACGGATTAAAACCATCGAAACACATGAATACATATGAAATGTTGGCCATTTTCCTATTCACATGTGGTGGGTGTGAGTCAAATAGAAGAGGGCAAAATAAGTTCAAACACTCAGGTGAAACCATTAGTAGAAAATTTCATGAAGTTCTAGATTGTGTGGTTGCCATGGCACAAGATTTCTTGAGACCAACATATCCTAATTTTTGTAATGTGCACAAGAGGATTAGGAATGACAAGAGAGCATATCCACATTTTAAGGATTGCATTGGTGCACTTGATGGAACCCATATTCGTGTGTCTTTATCACCTGAAGAACAAGTGAGATATATTGGTAAGACTGGAATTGCAACTCAAAATGTGCTTGCCATTTGTGATTTTGATATGCGCTTCACGTATGTGGCTGCGGGTCAACCGGGTTCTTTGCATGACACTAGTGTATTGTACCATGCATTGGAAGCAGATGTAGATGTCTTCCCACATCCTCCTCAAGGTAAATATTTTTGCTTACGATCTTTTTCATATTTGTATGCACAAACTTATCTTGTTTTACATATGTGTAGGCAAGTACTATGTTGTAGATGCGGGCTATCCTAATCGTCCGGGGTACCTAGCTCCATACAAGGGTGAAAGATACCACTTACCCGAGTGGCATCGAGGTATGGAACCAAATACTCCAAAAGAGAAGTTCAACCGTATACACTCATCTGTTCGTAATGTTATTGAGTGCTCATTTGGAGTATTAAAAATGAAATGGCAAATCCTTTACAAGATGTCCGGTTATTCAATGGTCACACAAAAGAAGATTGTTGCTGCTACCATGGTCCTACACAATTTCATATGTGAACATGCTAGTGTTGATGTGGACTTTGCTAATTTTGATAGAGATCCTACCTTCATGCCTACTATTCCGGAAAGGTACAACAAGTATGCCGTGTCTCAACATGCCTCCAATGGATCAACTTCGGAATCAAGCTTTGTGACTATGGACACCTTTCGTGATAATATGGCTACATCCATCGCCCTAGCTTGGAATTAGTGCAATGATTATTGTAACGACCTTATTTTGGAACTATGAACTTATTTTGGATCTATGTGTACTCAGATCAATCATTGCAACCATTTGTAGTTGGTTAATGCCCATTATCGAGGTCATTCTTCATTGTCTGAACTGCCCTATTCTGTTCAACTCTGAATCAAAATCTGAAATTCTGAATGCAAATACAATGCAATGCTGCTCTGCCACTCTGAACCGGCCGCCAGCTTCACCAATCAGCTAGCGCACAAGCAGACAACACTACTAAGTGGCAGCAACTACCCTCTTCATCTTTTCACGGTAGTTGCCACAGATCGATGACAGTCAAACGGAAGTGTGCCTTCTAAAATCTTCTTGGCATAGTACAATAGTAGTACTTCACTGCGTGTACTTTCATTTCATATTTGTGAGAAGTAGTTCAAATCGAACCAGGGGCAAGAATGGCAATCTACCCTTAAACTCATCTTTTCTGGAGCTGGGGACACCCTCCTAGCCAAACACCTCCGTCAGACAACTCCAACTCCACCCAGAGCTGGCTCCACTAGGAGTTCTAGAGTGGAGCAGCTCTACCCAGAGTTGGAGTCATGCCAAACAGGGCCTGAGTCCAGGACTTAGGTGTGGGAGCTTGGAGTCTAAGTTTGGACGGGGACCTAGACCCCTTGACAAGAGAGTGGTGGGTTGGTCCTGTTTGTACCTGGGGTACAAGCGGGGCGTGTGTTTCGAGGTACCCAGCTGGGCTACATTGATTCACGAATCACCATGTAATATGGTACGACTTATCTACGATCTAGCACCGTAGTAAGAACTAGAATATGAAGGATGGTAAAATGGTTTTGATTGCTTACCACCTGCTTGAAAGTAGCACAGGTGCTTACATAGAATGGTTAGTTAATGAACTAATGATGACTTCTAATAAAATTGAATATAAGGATGCATGCTTAGTAATGCCTCCTGCAGATGCAATAAACCCACAAGCCAGATAGCCTTGCATATCCTTAGAGTCTTTTCTTTTCTTCTGACTGGTAAGTCTTGCGGAGTACAATTGAGTACTCAGGGTTTGTTCTACCCTGTTGCAGGTGACAGGTGGATGCTAGAGCCGACACTTGTGTGCGGGAACCTCCTGGTGGGCTCAGTGAGGATTTTCTTAACGTTGCGGACATAGAGTTTATTTGAAAATTCCACCCAAAATGTTTTATAATAGAAAAACTTATAAGCTGTTATGATGTATATAACGGATCATCATGTTAATGTTAAACTTGTCATTGAATGATTTTGTTTCCGCTGAACTCTGATAACATGGTTATATTCCGCTATTATAAACAATAAATATTATACTCTGATGTTGCATGAAAAGTGATGTAAGAAATGACTTAAGAATGTTGTAAGCTTTATTCTCTCATTTGTGATCCTGGTGGAAAAATGTGGATTTTCGGGTTCTCCCTTGGGGTGTGCTCGACGGAACTACGTAATTTAGTGTCCTCCTTTGAGTACTTAGTGTCTAATGGAAGACAAGTACTCCTGAGATGCATTAGATTAGGCGGTTCTACCACAGCAGCAGTGCCGCACTTTTAGTGCCGCAGTACGGCAGTGCTTGTTTTAAACAGGCATATTCACCCCCCCTCTATGCAACATCAAAGTCTTTTCAGCGACCAAACAGCTGTGAAAACAGGACAGAAGAGCTCCATCCTAGTTCGCTCCTCAACCGAACAAATCCCTAGATTTCTAGAGCGATATGGTCGCTCCGTATGTGCTCATCGAATAGAGATAAGGGACATATCCCATTACCCTTTGTCATTTCTAGATTCATTCTCCGTTACTGCCTTTTGAGAGGACTCTTTTGTAATGCGCGGGCGTCGATTGGGCTATGGACACACATCTTCTTCCTTTCGACTGCCTCCCACCATCACCCTAGTGTCAGCCACGTATATACCATTGATCGAGCTGCCGAGGTCCACCGCCGCCGCTTCTACTCTGCCGTTTCTAATTGTGGCGTATCTCACCCCTGCCATCGTCTCCGCCCCTTGGTTATCCTCCACCCCCAGCCTGTGTTGCCATCTTGCCTCACTGTCCGTCGATCCGCCTCCATCGCTAGGCCGCTTCGTCACCCCAGGCATCCCGCTAGGTACCACCACAGCATGCATTAGAGTTCCTGGTTGCTATGATGATTTTGGGGTTGCACACAAAGGCTAGGGTCATGAACGCTGCGATGTCAATACCCACGTCCATATCCGCCATAGTGGGGCTGCCACCATAGTGGAGGATGGCTTATGAATCGGCAAAAGAAACTGTCAGTCTATATAAATAATATGAATAAATATTATATTATCTAAAATGGTCATGATTTCTAATAAAAAAGATCAAGTTTTAGGCCTCGTTTATTTATATACTTCTCCTATATTTCAAGTATCTGAATTTTAAGATGATTTCAGGTAACACTTTTGCACCATCAACTAGTAAAGTAAACTGTTACTTTTTATGATTTGTTATTTATCTTTATATCCTAACATATCAATTTTTTGTCCTTGTCTGAGTATAGAAATAATTGGAAATTATTAATTGTTCTTGTGTGCCAGCACAAATCAGATTTTGTTGGGTTTGTGTTTTTGTCTAATAAGTTTTTTATTTCCAAAACTGAAATTTACAGATTTTACCTATGAAAATTATAACAAACTAAAATTACAATATTAATATAAAATATATACAATAACCGTAGCTCGAAAAAAAACTAAAATTGAGTCGCTGAATTTTAGCAAGTCCCATTTGAGGTCAAACAAAGTTATGCCAGGCTAGGGAGTCCGCCTAGAGTTCGAGTCCAAAGTAATTAAGAAAACTTTTTTCTATTTGAGATCAAACAAAGGTCTTCGATTTTGTGTTCCAGGTTAAAGATTTGTTCTTGTTCCTGCTTTACCGTGAGATATCTGATCGAGTCGTCTGTGCCCCGCGTGGGGACGATTGATCGTTTAGAAGATTTGCAATGGCCCCGCCCTCTTCAATCGCCGGCGCGACCGATCGAAGCAGCAGGAGAGGCTTGATGTCCATGTCCATCCTCCGGGCTCCGGCGAGAGCCACCCTCCAAGCGGCCGCGCCGGGCCACCGCTGGCGACGCCGCGGCGCCGCTGACTGACGAAGCCCTCCTCGCCACCTTCGACTACATCCCCAACCTTGCCGACCTCGTCCGCATAGCCGCCACCTGCAGGCGCCAGGCGTTGGCGCAACCTTGTGTCCGGCGATGCCGCCTTCCTCGGCCGCACACCACGGCGGCTGCCGGTCAGATTCTTCGGCCTCCTCGCCCTCGGCTCCTTTCACCACGAGAACGCCGCCTCTGGGCCGCGCTTCGTCCCTTGGGCTGCGGCTGGCGTGACGCGACACTTCCTCGGCCTCCATGGCCAACCGTCCCTTCCGCTGAGCACGCTCACCGACGACGGGCTGTTCCACTCCTCCCACGTCGTGGCCTCTAGGAACGGCCTCCTCGTCGTGACTCCGGCGAGCAACTGCAAAGCACGAAAGGGCACTCAGGCTCTGCGTCTGCAACCCCATGTCCGGCGCAGCGCACGTCCTGCCGCCCCTTGCCGTCAAGGGCCACGGCCTCGGGCACTACGCATGCACGGTGCTCCCCGCCGATGACTGCAATGACAACACTGGCCTGGCGCGTCCCTCTTCTTACTTCCGCCTGATCATGGTGTACACCAGGCGCGGCGGCGGCGCCTCTGCCACATTCCACAGCTACTCGCCCGACGACGGCGGCTGAAGCAGAGATGAAAAGGCGGTGAACTGCGACGAGCTTAGTCAGAAGCAGCTGCGCCTGATGCGTGGCGGCGTTGTGGCCCGTGACAGCAGGATGGTGTGTGCTGGCTTGCCAAGAACGTGGTGGTGGCGCTGAAACTCGCCACGCTGAGGCTTCACGTGGTACGCGTTCCTTGGTACGCGAACGGCCAGAACTTCACCATGGCGAACACCTTGCTGGGCTTGTCGTCGGAGGAGGGAGGGCTCTGCTTGATCTAGTTCGACCGCATGTCGCTGTCCCCGGCCATGCGTAAGCGGAGAGTCTCCATAGGCGTGTACACCTGCGACTGTGGGCGTTGGAACATGAAGGAATCGATCCAGGTAGACCAGTACTTGCCGGACACCGCGACCAAGATGAGGCTGCGGTGGTTCTGCGACAGGAGCGGGATCATCTTCTTCAACGCCGTCGCCGGGGACAACGAACACCGGAGAAGCGAGGTGTACGCTCTAAGCCTCGACACGAAGGCGGTTGAGAAGGTGGCAAGCCATGTCGGGGACCGTGATTGGGGGATCTTCACGGGTAGGAGATGGGTCAGGCGGCATATTCACCTTTGTAGCAACCTCTAGGCGAGAAAGTAAATTTTGCCCCCAGAGGCACATGCTCTGCTGGCTCTTTTGCTTTCCTTGCATCGGCTGATGCGTTATAATCACCATCCAACATAAGCACACCTTCAAGCCGTTGCGACAAGATCTTTTGTGGGTGAAACCTGCATCCACGACCATGCCTTCTAGCTCCTATGAAGGTAATAAATTGTGAATAGCGTGTTCATACCGAGGTCTGCATAGCATATTGTGGATTATAGAGATTAGTGTCTGCATAGCGTATTGCAGATTACGGACATCAAGTCCCAAACTCCCAATAGCATAATATTAAAAATAGTAAAAATGGAGCTTATATTGATACTAAAATCATGATTGCTTAATATAATTAGAAGTCTCTACTTAATTACTATATTTCATTGTACAAAAACATAAATAAACATAAATGAATAACATATAAAGAATATCAATTGAAAAACAATATCCTTTGTCATGACATCATTCTTTGTCATCACCAAAATCGCCGTCATCAACATTCTTGTTGCCACTAGAACCATATATATTGTCACTTGAACCATGCGCATAGCATATAATGGCCTAGCAAGAGCACGCAATAGCAGCCAACAAATAACAGATGCTAATTGCAATAGCGTCTGCTAAGTTCCAACATGCTATCTTCGGTATGCTACCTTGTGGTGGTAGCGATAGAGAGCTGCTATTGCTATAGACTATAGTGGTCACTATTGTGGGCGCTACCAATGCCATTTGTTACTATGCTGCTACAATCACCTCCCTGTGGGTTGCAACCTGCACCATTGTCCTAAGCTTTATGTGGCCTCACAGCTGGAGAAGGTATCTGGTTACGTGCACACATCATTATCCATTATTCCATGAGTTCAATATTAAACCTGGGAATACTCATAGGGGAAAATATATCTATGACATTGTTGTGTGCTTATAGTATAAGTAGGTAAGCATAACTAATGCAAACAATAATGTTCTATATATCTAGTTAACATTTATTAGGCATGGAACTATGGTTAGATCAGCTAGTTCATTTCCATGTCAAAGAACTTCTCCAAGCCATAAGTTATTAAGATAATGATAGTAGTTTGGAAATGCCAAATTTTGAGAAAGCAAAGAGGGAAGAATTTAGTAGCAATAGTCATTTCTTTCTTTGCTTCTAAATTAGTATGTTCCTTTACTTGTAAGTTAACTTATATTTTGCTTGCAAGCAAAATTTTGTAACCGCTGGGGTGAGATGTAACGGTCTTCATGCCTTTTTCACCCTCCCCCTATCTTCAAGCTTGCACCCAATCTCTTTCCATCCTACCACTACGGCCCATACAACTATAAGGTCCATTGGTTTGCTCCTCCCATCCTCATTTCGTTTGAGGCCTCTGCCCCCTGCCGAAGTGGATTCGTTCATCAACTCTGGTGGGATCCCTAACCTTACCCTCCTCTGCCATCTTTGGTGGGTCCAATTGTCTAATCTGTTGTCACTTCCCACACCCAGGTAATCGACGTTGCCATTTGCTCTAACTCGATCGGGCTTCCCACCGCTAGTCTCCCAGCACCAACATCCCTTGAAAGCCACCAGAATCGGTATGTCTTTGCCTAAATTCTTAGTTACTCTTTTCCAAATTTTACATTCCCTACCTTGATCCTAGTCCCTTTTAAAAAATTTATGATGTATATATCTACAACATATAACAGTTCATGTTACATGGAGCAGACTCATTCTAAATTTGGCATCACATCAAATTATTCTTACTTTTTTGTATCAATTGATCTACTCTTTCTAAGATGGGGCACAACTTGAATGTGTCAATTTTATCAAGATAGAAATACGACTAAGGGAAGAAGCAATAGTTTTTTATCCCCTTGCTATTAACCATGTTTTCTTCTCATATCCAAAATTCCTAAATTTTAAAAGGGAGAGCTTTTTCATGTTTCTGTTAGTACGCAAGGTTCAATTCGAGGTTTGATATTATTTGGTTTTTAGTTCATCAATTTTGACTGAAGATTTAATGATTTGAAATGCAAGACTTTGATTCAACACATTTTTTTGAGAGGTTGATTCAAGCCATTAGGTTCAAACCACATAGTGGATTTGATTCTATTCTAGATGTGATAGCTTCCTTTGTTCATGTGTAACATAGTTTCCTTTTTCTAGAACACACGACATGCCACGGGCCAAGAGAGGTCACCTTGTGTCACACCTACGATCTTCCATCAACATGGCTTCGAGTCCATGCAACAAGGGTTGGTTGTCCATTCGGACAAACACCTCCAAGCAGCCACATAAGCCCAACAACGATGGCACATCACTACCTGATGAGATCATCCGCTTCATCTTCATTGGCTTTCTTGAGATCGCTGACCTCGTTCGCTGCGCTGCTACCTACAGGCGCTGGCGCCACCTGGTGTCCAATGATGCCAACTTCATTTGCCGAACCTCACAACAGCTATGCTTCGTCGACAAATTCATCCCCTCGCTCATTGTTGGATTCTTTCACAAGCATGATGCCACTATGCTAAGCTTCATCCCCATGGCTTCTGCATCACGCCGGTTCTCGATCCTCCAGAAGCCATCACTGTCACTGAACATGGACATCGATGATGGGCTTTTGAACTCATCCCGCATTGTGGCCTCCAGGAACGGCCTCCTTGTCATTGAAGTCCAACGTGGCAAACACAGTAGGACTCTTAAGCTCTGTGTCTGCAACCCTATGAGTGGCGAGGTCCATGTATTACCAGCCCTAAGGGGTAAGGATGGTCTTGGACACTATGCCTGCACGGTGCTCACCACTGTTGACTACCAAAACAAGAACAAGAACAACAACCCACAACCTCCATTGTCCTCTCACTACCACCTGCTCATGGTGTATAGTTGGCTCCACTTCACGGCGTTTCGAAGCTACTCATCTAAGGATGGCATATGGAGACCAGAGGGCAAGGTGACTGGAGCCCAGCTTGGCAAAAACCAAATACGACTGATGCGCAATGGTGTGATTGCCTGTGGTGGACAAGTAGCATATTGGATAACAATGGACCTCGTGTTCGGGCTACACCTCAACACATTAGAGGCCACGATGACAAGATTGCCTTGGTCAGGAGGCAACACCTTCATCGACATAGAGAATATATTGCTGGGCACAACACCAAAGGGTAGGCTCTGCGCTATCCAGTTTAGCAAGCATTGGTACTTATCGATGCATGGTAAGTGGGCACCAACAAATGAAATATGTGTAATCACCTATGACAACAATGGCACCATTGACAACAGTACGCTGCAACTGAGCAATTCATTATGGAAGACGAAGATCAATATCCAAGTAGACCAAGCTTTGAAAGTTGATGCGCTTGCAACGGAGGTAAAGCTACAATGGTTTTGTGAGAAGAGTGGGGTCGTGTTCTTTACTAATAGCTACTATGGCAAACCGAGAAGTGAGGTGTATGCTCTGAACTTAGGCACAAGAATGATTGAGAAGGTGGCAAGCAACACCAGGGACAATGACTTGTGGAACAACTTTTACGGCTACGAGATGGATCATGCCTCATATCTGACATCCCTCACTGAGCTAGAAGGCATAGAGAATATGTGATTGGTATTGCTACTGGTAGTTTTAGGTTTTGTTACTAAAAGAAGTAGCATACATATATGTATAGAGGTGCATGATATGTTGATATAGTTGTGTTTTTTTACTATCACCTTTGTTTTTAGTACTAAGAATCTAAATTCAATGTAATTCTTTTGCCTTTGTGCTAATATTGAATGCAAACCTTTCTCTTTAGTAGTAAGATCTATTACTATTGAGTGTGAATGGTCCATGATAAAAAATGGACGAACAAGGACCTTTTTCAAGGTACAAGCTATGGTTTTTTGTGCCTTCACATTTTCCACTGCCTCCACAAGATTAAGTGATCTCATGACCAGCACCTTCTTTTATCTTGTGGCCAAAAAGCATTACCTACTACAAGCACCAAGAGCGAAGCCAGCAAAGAATATCATTGGGGTCAAACCTATTGCATGGCATGGTGAACCTTAAATGAAAACATTGTTTAATTACTAGAGTATTTTGGAATTTTGTCGGGTTTGACTAACCTAATGGACAGGGCTAGGTCCACCACTCCATATTACCTCTCATCATATCATCCACCACCTTACTTTATGACCACAGAATTTGAAGAGTACAAGTCTCGTATCTCAACATTCAAGCCATCCACTTCATCTCCCACTAAATGCCACACCATCCCACTAACTTTTGACCTTATAATCCAAGTCAACCATGCCACTTCTAATGTAATTAGTATTTTCAATATATAAGAAATATATCCGTCATCCATATATCACTATTTATTTTGCAATTCCATCATCTTATGATCCGATCTAATTATATTTGTTTTATTCAATGTAAGAACACATAGGTTGAACTAATATATACAATGATTTTATTTATAGAAGTCTCGCAGCAACGCATGGGGTATGCTTCTAGTATGGATAATCCTAGACCACAAGCTAATTAGATATAAATTATAGGTGTGTCCTTTTCTCATCTCTCCATCTCCAATCCTACATACTTCTATTGGGCCCAAGCATCGGAATTACTAGAAGGTCTAGTATCCTAAAGTAAAGACGAGACACATCTAGAGATTGCAACAGGCATCCCTATGGGCACGAAATTTCCCCATCCTTGTCCTTGTGAGTGACTTCGAGGTCTATTTTCTTCCAAAACCCCGCCCTCACACGGGGAATTAATCACCGTGGGTTGCCCACCCTGCATAGTTAGTATCTTAGATCAAATGCTGCAACCATTAAAAAGTGAGGAACACATATCATACACACTTGCACAACCAGCCCAACACATAGTGGTATAAACACAACAATAAAGAGAAAAAAGGAGAGTATAGAAGAAGGGAATTGACTCATCATGCTTCAATCGAAACCCAAGGATTTGTAATAGGAGATATGGTGGCAAAATAATTTAACAGATGGAGCCCAAGAGACCAAAGTATCAAAACCC